GGGGTTTGGGGTGACGTGTGTCGTGGAGGGTAGGGGTGAATTTAGATGGGGGGATGGGGTGACGTGTGTCGTGGAGGGTGGGGGTGAATTTTGATGGGGGGATGGGGTGACGTGTGTCGTGGAGGGTGGGGGTGAATTTTGATGGGGGGATGGGGTCACGTGTGTCGTGGAGGGTGGGGGTGAATTTTGATGGGGGAATGGGGTCACGTGTGTCGTGGAGGGTGGGGGTGAATTTTGATGGGGGGTTGGGGTGACGTGTGTCGTGGAGGGTGGGGGTGAATTTTGATGGGGGGATGGGGTGACGTGTGTCGTGGGGGTGTGGGGTGAATTTTGATGGGGGGATGGGGTCACGTGTGTCGTGGAGGGTGGGGGTGAATTTTGATGGGGGGATGGGGTCACGTGTGTCGTGGAGGGTGGGGGTGAATTTTGATGGGGGGTTGGGGTGACGTGTGTCGTGGAGGGTGGGGGTGAATTTTGATGGGGGGATGGGGTGACGTGTGTCGTCGGGGATGGGGGGGAATTTTGATGGGGGGATGGGGTCACGTGTGTCGTGGAGGGTGGGGGTGAATTTTGATGGAGGGTTGGGGTGACGTGTGTCGTGGAGGGTGGGGGTGAATTTTTGATGGGGGGATGGTGTGACGTGTGTCGTGGAGGGTGTGGGGTGAATTTTGATGGGGGGATGGGGTCACGTGTGTCGTGGAGGGTGGGGGTGGGGGTGAATTATGACGGGGGATGGGTGACGTGTGTCGTGGAAGGTGGGGGTAATTTTTGATGGGGGGATGGGGTCACGTGGGTCGTGGAGGGTGAGGGTGGGGGTGAAGGCTGAATTGGGGGAAGGAGTCACGTGGGTCGTGGAGGGTGGGGGTGGGGTGTGAAGGATAATGAGGGGAAGGAGTCACGTGGGTCGTGGAGGGTGGGGGTGAAGGCTGATGGGGGGATGGGGTCACGTTGGTATTGGAGGGTGGGGGTGAATTATTATGGGGGGATGGGGTGTCACGTGGGTCGTGGAGGGTGGGGGTGGGGGTGAATTATGAGGGGGGAAGGGGTGACGTGTGTCGTGGAGGGTGGGGGTGAATTATTATGGGGGGAAGGGGTGACGTGTGTCGTGGAGGATGGGAGTGAATTTTGATGGGGGGAAGGGGTGACGTGTGTCGTGGAGGGTGGGGTGAATTATTATGGGGGATGGGGTCACGTGGGTCGTGGAGGGTGGGGGTGAAGGATAATGGGGGGAAGGAGTCACGTGGGTCGTGGAGGGTGGGGGTGAATTATTATGGGGGATGGGGTCACGTGGGTCGTGGAGGGTGGGGATGATTGCTGATGGTTGGATGGGGTCAGGGGGGTCGTGTGGGGTTTGGAAGACTAAGAGGGGTCGTAGAGCCTCCAGTACGGCTTAAATTGCGCGGAGGTTCGTAAAGGCGGTACAGGGTCGTACTGGGCTAGGCATGTCTTGCCCTGCCGGACAGGTGGTGGAGGATAGGCAGGGTGATGGAGTCTAGCCCAGTGTCGGTGGAGTGGTGGAGGACAGGCAGGGCGATGGAGGCTAGCCCAGTGTCGGTGGAGTGGTGGAGGACAGGCAGGGCGATGGAGGCTAGCCCAGTGTCGGTGGAGTGGTGGAGGACAGGCAGGGCGATGGAGTCTAGCCCAGTGTCGGTGGAGTGGTGAAGGATAGGCAGGGTGATGGAGTCTAGCCCAGTGTCGGTGGAGTGGTGGAGGACAGGCAGGGCGATGGAGGCTAGCCCTGTGTCGGTGGAGTGAAAGACAGGGAGGGCGATGGAGGGCAGGGACGGTGGCGAAGAATGCTGGAGTACAGCTTCGAGGGTCGTGAAGGAATGCGAAGTCGGGGTAGCTTGCGTACGGTATCTCTAGGTGCGCGCTCTTCAGCAATCCGCTGAGCATCTACGAGCTGAGGCTTTAGCTGACCCCGCTGAGCGTCTACCCGCTGACCATCTAGCGGTATAGGCGGGAACGAGGGAAAGACCTGCACAGGCGGGTAGGGACAATATCTCCACTCCCTACCTGCCACAGAGGTGCCGCCCCTGAGTAAGGACCTGAGGCCCTTCTTGTACTTCTAGAGAAGCATTAACAATGCCGTCAGGAGGTTTGCCACCACTATGCCCACGTACAGCAGCAGCTGCTGCAGGAGCTGCTGTACACCTAGCAGGAGGAGGCCCACAGGACTGGCACCATCCTCAGCACCGCTCAGAGACCGGGCCCCAGGAGCCACGTCCCCGCCGGCACCCAGAACAGTATGGCCGCTACCCAACAGGGTGTCTACTAACATGCTTTTCATTTACACGTTTAACTTTTATATTTAAAATTTTTTGTTTTATATTTTTATTTTAAACTTTTTCTTTCTTGAAACAGAGCTCTTAGTTGTCTGTAACTAAGATTTCGTCCCGAACGATGGCAGCGAGCAAGCATTGTCCTGTCTCCTTCCCTTCCTTATCTTTCAACCTTCCCTTCCTTCTCCTTCAACCCCCTTCCTTCGACTAGGAGACGCAACACTACCACACTGAGAGACGCAACGCTACCAGACTGAGAGACGCAACGCTACCACACTGAGAGACGCAACACTACCACACTGAGAGACGCAACGCTACCTGACTGAGAGACGCAACACTACCACACTGAGAGACGCAACGCTACCAGACTGAGAGACGCAACGCTACCAGACTGAGAGACGCAACACTACCACACTGAGAGACGCAACGCTACCAGACTGAGAGACGCAACACTACCACACTGAGAGACGCAACACTACCAGACTGAGAGACGGAACACTACCAGACTGAGAGACGCAACACTACCACACACTGAGAGACGCAACGCTACCAGACTGAGAGACGCAACACTACCACACTGAGAGACGCAACGCTACCAGACTGAGAGACGCAACGCTACCAGACTGAGAGACGCAACACTACCACACTGAGAGACGCAACGCTACCAGACTGAGAGACGCAACACTACCACACTGAGAGACGCAACACTACCAGACTGAGAGACGGAACACTACCAGACTGAGAGACGCAACACTACCACACTGAGAGACGCAACGCTACCAGACTGAGAGACGCAACACTACCACACTGAGAGACGCAACGCTACCAGACTTAGAGACGCAACACTACCACACTGAGAGACGCAACGCTACCAGACTGAGAGACGCAACACTACCAGACTGAGAGACGGAACACTACCAGACTGAGAGACGCAACACTACCACACTGAGAGACGCAACGCTACCAGACTGAGATACGCAACGCTACCAGACTGAGAGACGCAACGCTACCAGACTGAGAGACGGAACACTACCTGACTGAGAGACGGAACACTACCAGACTGAGAGACGGAACACTACCAGACTGAGAGACGGAATACTACCAGACTGAGAGACGGAACACTACCAGACTGAGAGACGCAACGCTACCAGACTGAGAGACGGAACACTACCTGACTGAGAGACGGAACACTAACAGACTGAGAGACGCAACGCTACCAGACTGAGAGACGCAACGCTACCAGACTGAGAGACGCAACACTACCAGCCTGAGAGACGGAACACTACCAGACTGAGAGACGGAACACTACCAGACTGAGAGACGGTACACTACCAGACTGAGAGACGGTACACTACCAGACTGAGAGACGGTACACTACCAGACTGAGAGACAGAACACTACCACACTGAGAGACGCAACGCTACCACACTGAGAGACAGAACACTACCAGACTGAGGGACGCAACACTACCAGACTGAGAGAGGTACACTACCAGACTGAGAGACGGAACACTACCAGACTGAGAGACGCAACGCTACCACACTGAGAGACAGAACACTACCAGACTGAGAGACGGAAAACTACCAGACTGAGAGACGGAAAACCACCAGACTGAGAGCCGGAAAACTACCAGACTGAGAGACGGAAAACTACCAGACTGAGAGACGGAAAACTACCAGACTGAGAGACGGAACACTACCAGACTGAGAGACGGAACACTACCAGACTGCGAGACGGAACACTACCAGACTGAGAGACGGAACACTACCAGACTGAGAGACGCAACGCTACCAGACTGAGAGACGGAACACTACCAGACTGAGAGACGGAAAACTACCAGACTGAGAGACGGAAAACTACCAGACTGAGAGACGGAAAACTACCAGACTGAGAGACGGAAAACTACCAGAACGAGAGACGGAAAACTACCAGACTGAGAGACGGAACACTACCAGACTGAGAGACGGAACACTACCAGACTGAGAGACGCAACGCTACCAGACTGAGAGACGGAACACTACCAGACTGAGAGACGGAAAACTAACAGACTGAGAGACGGAAAACTACCAGACTGAGAGACGGAACACTACCAGACTGAGAGACGGAACACTACCAGACTGAGAGACGCAACACTACCAGACTGAGAGACGCAACGCTACCAGACTGAGAGACGCAACACTACCAGACTGAGAGACGCAACGCTACCAGACTGAGGGACGCAGCGCTACCAGACTGAGAGACGCAACGCTACCAGACTGAGACGTAACACTACCAGACTGAGAGACGCAACGCTACCAGACTGAGGGACGCAACACTACCAGACTGAGAGACGCAACGCTACCAGACTGAGGGACGCAACGCTACCAGACTGAGGGACGCAACGCTACCAGACTGAGAGACGCAACGCTACCAGACTGAGACGGAACACTACCAGACTGAGAGACGCAACGCTACCAGACTGAGAGACGGAACACTACCAGACTGAGAGACGAAACACTACCAGACTGGAAGACGAACACTACCAGACTGAGGGACGCAACGCTACCAGACTGAGAGACGGAACCCTACCAGACTGAGAGACGCAACACTACCAGACTGAGGACGCAACGCTACTAGACGGAGAGACGCAACACTTCCAGACTGAGAGACGCAGCACTTCCAGAAGAGGTTTCAGATCAATTCCTGTTTATCTGTGAATTCATTCGAGGATTTTGCTTCTCACTCCTTATACTTTAAGTTTCCTCTGCGCCTCCACGACCACGCGACGCTTGGCTTGGGGGCTCCACGTCCACGCGACGCTTGGCTTGGGGGCTCCACGACCACGCGACGCTTGGCTTGGGGGCTCCACGACCACGCGACGCTTGGCTTGGGGGCTCCACGACCACGCGACGCTTGGCTTGGGGGCTCCACGACCACGCGACGCTTGGCTTGGGGGCTCCACGACCACGCGAAGCTTGGCTTGGGGGCTCCACGACCACACGCGACGCTTGGCTTGGGGGCTCCACGACCACGCGACGCTTGGCTTGGGGGCTCCACGACCACGCAACGCGCTTGGCTTGGGGGCTCCACGACCTCGCGACGCTTGGCTTGGGGCTCCACGACCACGCGACGCTTGGCTTGGGGGCTCCACGACCACGCGACGCTTGGCTTGGGGGCTCCACGACCACGCGACGCTTGGCTTGGGGGCTCCACGACCACGCGACGCTTGGCTTGGGGGCTCCACGACCACGCGACGCTTGCTTGGGGGCTCCACGACCACGCGACGCTTGGCTTGGGGGCTCCACGACCACGCGAAGCTTGGCTTGGGGGCTCCACGACCACGCGACGCTTGGCTTGGGGGCTCCACGACCACGCGACGCTTGGCTTGGGGGCTCCACGACCACGCAACGCTTGGCTTGGGGGCTCCACGACCTCGCGACGCTTGGCTTGGGGGCTCCACGACCACCGCGACGCTTGGCTTGGGGGCTCCACGACCACGCGACGCTTGGCTTGGGGGCTCCACGACCACGCGACGCTTGGCTTGGGGGCTCCACGACCACGCGACGCTTGGCTTGGGGGCTCCACGACCACGCGACGCTTGGCTTGGGGCTCCACGACCACGCGACGCTTGGCTTGGGGGCTCCCTGACCACGCGACGCTTGGCTTGGGGGCTCCACGACCACGCAACGCTTGGCTTGGGGGCTCCACGACCACGCGACGCTTGGCTTGGGGGCTCCAAGACCACGCGACGCTTGGCTTGGGGGCTCCACGACCACGCGACGCTTGGCTTGGGGGCTCCACGACCACGCGACGCTTTGCTTGGGGGCTCCACGACCACGCAACGCTTGGCTTGGGGGCTCCACGACCACGCGACGCTTGGCTTGGGGGCTCCACGACCTCGCGACGCTTGGCTGGGGTGCTCCACGACCACGCGACGCTTGGCTTGGGGGCTCCACGATCACGCGACGCTTGGCTTGGGGGGCTGCAAAGTTACAGTTTACTTGACACGTGGGACTTGTTGCATTCTGTTGGCGAAATATTCGCGTCGATATTTTCATTTTTTCCCTCCTGGATTTTTATTTGATTACAAAGACCTTTCGCCTTGCAATATTATGTTTGCATTTTTATATATGACTGTTTTCCTCTTTTTTTGTGCTTGTTTTATGAATGTTGTTCCCGCCAAACACACACCGAAACTACGACGTTGGTACAACGTTCGAACAAGTTTTAACACCTCCTAACCAGTTATAACAACCAATATATCAAGTTGTAACAACGTTCTAATACGTCATAAACACGTTAAGCCAAGATGTAACAACTTTATTACAAGTTGTAACAAACGGAAAATAGAGACAGTTTCGGTTTGTGTTTCCAGGGTTTGGTTTGTGTGGTGTGAGAGTTGAATCAATCAACGTTGATATGTCTCATTAGGTGAGGAACATATCGTGAGAGGAAAGTCATAATTATATTTGGCTTTGCTTTTTTGAGCATATTTTTTTCACTTGTGAATGAAGACCAGTACTGCAAAGACCAGTGAAATATATTCAGTGGAGAGTATACTTCATTTGAAGATATGTGAGACTTATTTAATATATGGGAGGGCAAAGTGGGAAGGTGTGTGTGAGGTGAGAGAGAGGCAGGTGTGTGTGTGTGTGAGGTGAGGGAGAGGCAGGTGTGTGTGTGTGTGTGTGAGGTGAGGGAGAGGCAGGTTTGTGAGGTGAGGTGAGGGAGAGGCAGGTGTGTGGTGTGTGAGGTGAGGGAGAGGCAGGTGTGTGGTGTGGTGTGAGGTGAGGGGAGAGGCAGGTGTGTGTGTGAGGTGAGAGAGAGGTGTGTGTGTGTGTGAGGTGAGAGAGAGGCAAGTGTGTGTGTGAGGTGAGGGAGAGGCAGGTGTGTGTTGGGGTGTGAGGTGAGGGAGAGGCAGTGTTGTGAGGTGAGGTGAGGAGAGGCAGGTGTGTGTGTGAGGTCAGAGAGAGGCAGGTGTGTGTGTGAGGTGAGGGAGAGGCAGGTGTGTTGTGGTAAAGAAGTGTAGACGTGATGTTAAACATGAGCATCAATTACATATATGTTCTCTCTAACACAAACATGCCCAGAATGCAGCCCGTATCAGCTCTCTAATTCCCAGGTAAATGATTTACTCCCAAGTGAACAGAGTCATCAGGCAAGAGATCTCTGCTCATTTGTTTCTACCTCAGCAGGGAATCGAACCCGGGCCCCTTAGAGCTATGACCCCCGAGGCGTTTGTGCAGGTGTGTTGACGTCAAGGAGCAGCAGATGTGTTGAGGTTTAAGAGGGGAATATATGATGATGTTTCTCATTGCAACATCTATTGATGTTTGCAATGATGGAACATCATTGTTTCCAATAATGGGGTTTGTGTGTTGATTTGGCCAATTTTTAAATGTGTACCAATAAGGAAAATTGTCGTTGTTGACCTGAACTTGAAGTTTGACGTCTAGTGTTAGTACGTCGACGACATATTTACGTCTGTGGCTGACGCTGAGCACTTGTTATACAGTCCATTCACCTGGGCTCTAAGAGACTCGAACCATGGATCCAAGTGTGTGAGGTCGAAGCTCTATCGACCGAGCTGTGGTTTTCTTGGTATACACCTTAAGAATCATTCAAACTACTCAAACTACCTTCCGTGCTTAGTTTCATTTACGTCATGAATGTTGAAGGTGTCTTTCCCAGACGTAACAGTCTGGTAAAGCTGTTGTTGTGTAAACAATGCACTACCGTGACAGGTAGACGCGAGACGCTGTAGATGAGCTGAAGATGTAGACAGTTCAAGGAGGAACTCAGGATGCGCGTGGCAGTTCCTTGAGGACAAGGCAGGTCGTCAGCCAAGGCAAGCGGCGGCTGGTCCTACTCTAACAGGTAGGCCGAAGAGCAGGAATGGTGCCCAACCACTTGGACGGTTGGGGATTGAACGCCGGCATGCATGAGTACGTTCTCAGTAAGAGAAAAAGGAACCACCATGATATCTCGCGACAAACCGACCAACACTACAGTATCTGCCCCCCGGCTCTTAAACTATTATTCAGCAACTTCTCTACGCCGACTACATTTGTGCAGGGGAACGTCTTTAAGACGTCAGTGACGGAGATGTGGACCATGTACTGGCTCTGATCAGCAGGAGCACTTCAACGTTTCTTACAAGAGCAAGAAGACCTCCAACGTGCTCGTGAAGAGCTCTCTCGACACCATGTGAAACCCTTGGAAAGTGACGATTGTCGTCTATGCCTTTACTTCTTGAGTTGGGTACTGTCAACGATCCCATTATGTAAGAAAGAACACATCTATTTCAAAACGCCTCACAATGCAAAAACAACTAGGATACATAAAAACACACACACATTATATAAATATAAACATATGATATATATATATATATATATATATATATATATATATCTATATATATATATATATATATATATATATATATATATATTATATATATATAATATAATATATATATATATATATATATAAAACCATCTATCCTGTTGTGTTTCATCGAAGCTAGTTAAAGCCATTTTTGAGTATATTACATACACACGAAGGCACAAAGCAAAAAGCGATTTAACTGCCCCTTTTTCCAATTCACAGAGAGAACAATAAGTCCTTGGAATTTTTATTGTGACTATTACATTCCCCGTAATTATACTGAGCAGTGAGCACTCACAGAGAAACGTTGCATCGTTGCAAAGTTTGTTCAATATACGGGCTAGATTATTCGCGTAAAGACACGAGCGATAATAAGCTTTATCCACCCTTGCTAACCCATTTGAGTGAATACGGAATTTCGTAATCGCAGCGAAACTGCTAGGAACTATTCTCATTTGCATACACTGAGACATTACCAATACTCTTCAATTAACAAAAAGTTGCTTTTTAATACATAGGCAACGCGAGCCAAGCGCTCGTAGTGTGTGTAGCGAGCGGTGTCAAGCGCTCGTGGTGTGTGTGTGTGTGACGAGCGGTGTCAAGCGCTCGTGGTGTGTGTGTGTGGCGAGCGGTGTCAAGCGCTCATGGTGTGTGTGTGGCGAGCGGTGTCAAGCGCTCGTGGTGTGTGTGTCGCAAGCGGTGTCAAGCGCTCGTGGTGTGTGTGTTGCGAGCGGTGTCAAGAGTTCGTGGTGTGTGTGTGGCGAGCGGTGTCAAGCGCTCGTGGTGTGTGTGTGGCGAGCGGTGTCAAACGCTCGTGGTGTGTGTGGCGAGCGGTGTCAAGCGCTCGTGGTGTGTGTGACGAGCGGTGTCAAACACTCGTGGTGTGTGTGTGTGTGTGGCGAGCGGTGTCAAGCGCTCGTGGTGTGTGTGGCGAGCGGTGTCAAACGCTCGTGGTGTGTGTGGCGAGCGGTTGTCAAGCGCTCGTGGTGTGTGTGGCGAGCGGTGTCAAGCGCTCACGGAGTGTGTGTGTGGCGAGCGGTGTCAAGCGCTCGTGGTGTGTGTGTGTGGCGAGCGGTGTCAAACGCTCGTGGTGTGTGTGGCGAGCGGTGTCAAGCGTTCACGGTGTGTGTGGCGAGCGGTGTCAAGCGCTCGTGGTGTGTGTGGCGAGCGGTGTCAAGCGCTCACGGTGTGTGTGTGTGGCGAGCAGTGTCAAGCGCTCGTGGTGTGTGTGGCGAGCGGTGTCAAGCGCTCACGGTGTGTGTGGCGAGCGGTGTCAAGCGCTCACGGTGTGTGTGGCGAGCGGTGTCAAACGCTCGTGGTGTGTGTGTGGCGAGCGGTGTCAAGCGCTCACGGTGTGTGTGGCGAGCGGTGTCAAGCGCTCGTGGTGTGTGTGTGGCGAGCGGTGTCAAGCGCTCGTGGTGTGTGTGTGTGGCGAGCGGTGTCAAACGCTCGTGGTGTGTGTGGGGCGAGCGGTGTCAAGCGCTCACGGTGTGTGTGGCGAGCGGTGTCAAGCGCTCACGGTGTGTGTGTGTGGCGAGCAGTGTCAAGCGCTCGTGGTGTGTGTGGCGAGCGGTGGTGTCAAGCGCTCACGGTGTGTGTGGCGAGCGGTGTCAAGCGCTCACGGTGTGTGTGGCGAGCGGTGTCAAACGCTCGTGGTGTGTGTGTGGCAAGCGGTGTCAAGCGCTCACGGTGTGTGTGGCGAGCGGTGTCAAGCGCTCATGGTGTGTGTGTGGCGAGCGGTGTCAAGCGCTCGTGGTGTGTGTGGCGAGCGGTGTCAAGCGCTCACGGTGTGTGTGTGGCGAGCGGTGTCAAGCGCTCGTGGTGTGTGTGGCGAGCGGTGTCAAGCGCTCGTGGTGTGTGTGGCGAGCGGTGTCAAGCGCTCGTCGTGTGTGTGTGTGGCGAGCGGTGTCAAGCACTCGTGGTGTGTGTGGCGAGCGGTGTCAAGCGCTCATGGTGTGTGTGTGTGCGAGCGGTGTCAAACGCTCGTGGTTGTGTGTGTGGCGAGCGGTGTCAAGCGCTCGTGGTGTGTGTGGCGAGCGGTGTCAAGCGCTCGTGGTGTGTGTGGGCGAGCGGTGTCAAGCGCTCGTGGTGTGTGTGTGTGGCGAGCGGTGTCAAACGCTCGTGTGTGTGTGTGGCGAGCGGTGTCAAGCGCTCGTGGTGTGTGTGGCGAGCGGTGTCAAACGCTCGTGGTGTGTGTGTGTGGCGAGCGGTGTCAAGCGCTCGTGGTGTGTGTGGCGAGCGGTGTCAAACGCTCGTGGTGTGTGTGTGTGGCGAGCGGTGTCAAGCGCTCGTGGTGTGTGTGGCGAAACGGTATCAAGCGCTCGTGGTGTGTGTGTGTGGCGAGCGGTGTCAAGCGCTCGCGGTGTGTGGCGAGCGGTGTCAAGCGCTCGTGATGTGTGTGGCGAGCGGTGTCAAGCGCTCGTGGTGTGTGTGCGTTTGGCGAGCGGTGACGGGCTTGTGGGCGTGGTGACGGTGACGGGCTTGTGGGCGTGGTGACGGTGACGGGCTTGTGGGCGTGGTGACAGTGACGGGCTTGTGGCGTGGTAACAGTGGCGGGCGAGCGGTGACGGGCTTGTGGGCGTGGTAACAGTGACGGGCGAACGGTGACGGGCTTGTGGGCGTGGTAACAGTGACGGGCGAGCGGTGACGGACTTGTGGGCGTGGTAACAGTGACGGGCGAGCGGTGACGGGCTTGTGGGCGTGGTAACGGTGACGGGCGAGCGTTGACGGGCTTGTGGGCGTGGTAACGGGCTTGTGGGCGTGGTAACAGTGACGGGCGAGCGGTGACGGGCTTGTGGGCGTGGTAACGGTAACGGGCGAGCTGTGACGGGCTTGTGGGCGTGGTAACGGTGACGGGCGAGCGGTGACGGGCTTGTGGGCGTGGTAACGGTGACGGGCGAGCGGTGACGGGCTTGTGGGCGTGGTAACAGTGACGGGCTTGTGGGCATGGTAACAGTGACGGGCTTGTGGGCGCGGTAACGGTGACAGGCGAGCGGTGACGGGCTTGTGGGCGTGGTAACGGTGACGGGCGAGCGGTGACGGGCTTGTGGGCGTGGTAACGGTGACGGGCGAGCGGTGACGGGCTTGTGGGCGTGGTAACAGTGGCGGGCTTGTATGTTCATTCTCTTTCCCCTCCCCATTCCTTACCCCTCTTCTCTTACCCCTTATCCTACTTCTCTGTAGATCAGGAGGAACTTGAGTTTGCAGGGACGTCAGCGAACAGTTGTTTTCGTGTGTGAAGACACTCTTTTTATCTGTCAAAAAACACTCCAGTCCACTGCTTGTCTTCTCCAAGAAATACGTCCGGTTTACGCTGAGGAAACTCTGTGTTTCCAGGCGATACGGCCGTTGTATCAGGCGATATGGCCGTTATACAAGTCGATATGGCCGTGGTCGCAGGTGGTACGACCTCTCTTTAAGACGGAACGGATGCTAGGCAAGACGGTGCGATCGCTGAACAAGGCGCGCTGGACGACGGAGTAGCTTTTAGGTAGACACCGTATGGAGCGTTCCAGTAGGCGGGGAGGCTCCTGTCTTGTTCCGTCAGGGGCTGAGGGCCACTGGTCAGGGGTGGAGGTGGTTTGGGTGGGGGGTGGGGGGATGGGGTCACGTGGTTGGTGGTGGGTGGGGGTGAAGAATGATGAGGGGTTGGGGTCAGTACGTGGGTCGTGGAGGGTGGGGGTGGGGGTGAATTATAATGGGGGGGTGGGGGGTGATGTGGGCCGTGGAGGTAGGGGGTGGGGAGTGAAGAATGATGAGGGGTTGGGGTCAGTACGTGGGTCGTGGAGGGTGGGGGTGGGGGTGAATTATGATGGGAGGTTGGGGTGATGTGGGCCGTGGAGGGTGGGGGTGGGGGTGAATTATGACGGGGGGATGGGGTCACGTGTGTCGTGGAGGGTGGGGGTGAATTTTGATGGGGGGATGGGGTCACGTGTGTCGTGGAGGGTGGGGGTGAATTTTGATGGGGGGATGGGGTCACGTGTGTCGTGGAGGGTAGGGGTGAATTTTGATGGGGGGTTGGGGTGACGTGTGTCGTGGAGGGTAGGAGTGAATTTTGATGGGGGGGATGGGGTCACGTGTGTCGTGGAGGGTGGGGGTGAATTTTGTTGGGGGGATGGGGTGACGTGTGTTGTGGAGGGTGGGGGTGAATTTTGATGGGGGTTGGGGTGACGTGTGTCGTGAGGGGTGGGGGTGAATTTTGATGGGGGGATGGGGTCACGTGTGTCGTGGAGGGTGGGGGTGAATTTTGATGGGGGTTGGGGTGACGTGTGTCGTGGAGGGTAGGGGTGAATTTTGATGGGGGGTTGGGGTGACGTGTGTCGTGGAGGGTAGGGGTGAATTTAGATGGGGGATGGGGTGACGTGTGTCGTGGAGGGTGGGGGTGAATTTTGATGGGGGGATGGGGTGACGTGTGTCGTGGAGGGTGGGGGTGAATTTTGATGGGGGGATGGGTCACGTGTGTCGTGGAGGGTGGGGGTGAATTTTGATGGGGGAATGGGGTCACGTGTGTCGTGGAGGGTGGGGGTGAATTTTGATGGGGGGTTGGGGTGACGTGTGTCGTGGAGGGTGGGGGTGAATTTTGATGGGGGGATGGGGTGACGTGTGTCGTGGGGGGTGGGGGTGAATTTTGATGGGGGGATGGGGTCACGTGTGTCGTGGAGGGTGGGGGTGAATTTTGATGGGGGGATGGGGTCACGTGTGTCGTGGAGGGTGGGGGTGAATTTTGATGGGGGGTTGGGGTGACGTGTGTCGTGGAGGGTGGGGGTGAATTTTGATGGGGGGATGGGGTGACGTGTGTCGTGGGGGATGGGGTGAATTTTGATGGGGGGATGGGGTCACGTGTGTCGTGGAGGGTGGGGGTGAATTTTGATGGAGGGTTGGGGTGACGTGTGTCGTGGAGGGTGGGGGTGAATTTTGATGGGGGGATGGGGTGACGTGTGTCGTGGAGGGTGGGGGTGAATTTTGATGGGGGGATGGGGTCACGTGTGTCGTGGAGGGTGGGGGTGGGGGGTGATTATGACGGGGGGATGGGGTGACGTGTGTCGTGGAAGGTGGGGGTGAATTTTGATGGGGGGATGGGGTCACGTGGGTCGTGGAGGGTGAGGGTGGGGGTGAAGGCTGATGGGGGAAGGAGTCACGTGGGTCGTGGAGGGTGGGGGTGGGGGTGAAGGATAATGAGGGGAAGGAGTCACGTGGGTCGTGGAGGGTGGGGGTGAAGGCTGATGGGGGGATGGGGTCACGTTGGTATTGGAGGGTGGGGGGTGAATTATTATGGGGGGATGGGGTCACGTGGGTCGTGGAGGGTGGGGGTGGGGGTGAATTATGAGGGGGGGAAGGGGTGACGTGTGTCGTGGAGGGTGGGGGTGAATTATTATGGGGGGAAGGGGTGACGTGTGTCGTGGAGGATGGGAGTGAATTTTGATGGGGGGAAGGGGTGACGTGTGTCGTGGAGGGTGGGGGTGAATTATTATGGGGGGATGGGGTCACGTGGGTCGTGGAGGGTTGGGGTGAAGGATAATGGGGGGAAGGAGTCACGTGGGTCGTGGAGGGTGGGGGTGAATTATTATGGGGGGATGGGGTCACGTGGGTCGTGGAGGGTGGGGATGATGGCTGATGGTTGGATGGGGTCAGGGGGGTCGTGGGGGGGGGGAAGACTAAGAGGGGTCGTAGAGCCTCCAGTACGGCTTAAATTGCGCGGAGGTTCGTAAAGGCGGTACAGGGTCGTACTGGGCTAGGCATGTCTTGCCCTGCCGGACAGGTGGTGGAGGATAGGCAGGGTGATGGAGTCTAGCCCAGTGTCGGTGGAGTGGTGGAGGACAGGCAGGGCGATGGAGGCTAGCCCAGTGTCGGTGGAGTGAAAGACAGGGAGGGCGATGGAGGGCAGGGACGGTGGCGAAGAATGCTGGAGTACAGCTTCGAGGGTCGTGAAGGAATGCGAAGTCGGGGTAGCTTGCGTACGGTATCTCTAGGTGCGCGCTCTTCAGCAATCCGCTGAGCATCTACCAGCTGAGGCTTTAGCTGACCCCGCTGAGCGTCTACCCGCTGACCATCTAGCGGTATAGGCGGGAACGAGGGAAAGACCTGCACAGGCGGGTAGGGACAATATCTCCACTCCCTACCTGCCACAGAGGTGCCGCCCCTGAGTAAGGCCCTGAGGCCCTTCTTGTACTTCTAGAGAAGCATTAACAATGCCGTCAGGAGGTTTGCCACCACTATGCCCACGTGCAGCAGCAGCTGCTGCAGGAGCTGCTGCACACCTAGCAGGAGGAGGCCCACAGGACTGGCACCATCCTCAGCACCGCTCAGAGACCGGGCCCCAGGAGCCACGTCCCCGCCGGCACCCAGAACAGTATGGCCGCTACCCAACAGGGTGTCTACTAACATGCTTTTCATTTACACGTTTAACTTTTATATTTAAAAATTTTTGTTTTATATTTTTATTTTAAACTTTTTCTTTCTTGAAACTGAACTCTTTGTTGCCTGTAACTAAGATTTCGTCCCGAACGATGGCAGCGAGCAAGCATTGTCCTCTCTCCTTCAACCTCCCCTTCCTTCTCCTTCAACCTCCCCTTCCTTCTCTTTCAACCTTCCCTTCCTTCTCCTTCAACCCCCTTCCTTCTCTTTCAACCCCCTTCCTTCTCTTTCAACCCCCTTCCTTCTCTTTCAACCTCCCCTTCCTTCTCTTTCAACCTTCCCTTCCTTCTATTTCAACCTTCCCTTCCTTCTCCTTCAACCCCCTTCCTTCTCTTTCAACCTTCCCTTCCTTCTCCTTCAACCTTCCCTTCCTTCTCTTTCAACCCCCTTCCTTCTCCTTCAACCTTCCCTTCCTTCTCTTTCAACCTTCCCTTCCTTCTCCTTCAACCCCCTTCCTTCTCTTTCAACCCCCTTCCTTCTCTTTCAACCCCCTTCCTTCTCTTTCAACCTCCCCTTCCTTCTCTTTCAACCTCCCCTTCCTTCTCTTTCAACCTCCCCTTCCTTCTCTTTTAACCTTCCCTTCCTTCGACTAGGAGACGCAACACTACCAGACTGAGAGACGCAACACTACCAGACTGAGAGACGCAACACTACCAGACTGAGAGACGCAACACTACCAGACTGAGAGACGCAACACTACCAGACTGAGAGACGCAACACTACCAGACTGAGAGACGCAACACTACCAGACTGAGAGACGGAACACTACCAGACTGAGAGACGCAACACTACCACACTGAGAGACGCAACGCTACCAGACTGAGAGACGCAACGCTACCAGACTGAGAGACGCAACGCTACCAGACTGAGAGACGCAACGCTACCAGACTGAGAGACGCAACGCTACCAGACTGAGAGACGCAACGCTACCAGACTGAGAGACGGTACACTACCTGACTGAGAGACGGAACACTACCAGACTGAGAGACGCAACGCTACCAGACTGAGAGACGGAACACTACCTGACTGAGAGACGGAACACTAACAGACTGGGAGACGCAACGCTACCAGACTGAGAGACGCAACACTACCAGCCTGAGAGACGGAACACTACCAGACTGAGAGACGGTACACTACCAGACTGAGAGACGGTACACTACCAGACTGAGAGACAGAACACTACCAGACTGAGAGACGCAACGCTACCACACTGAGAGACAGAACACTACCAGACTGAGGGACGCAACACTACCAGACTGAGAGAGGTACACTACCAGACTGAGAGACGGAGCACTACCAGACTGACAGACGCAACGCTACCACACTGAGAGACAGAACACTACCAGACTGAGAGACGCAACACTACCAGACTGAGAGACGGAAAACTACCAGACTGAGAGACGGAAAACCACCAGACTGAGAGACGGAAAACTACCAGAATGAGAGACGGAAAACTACCAGACTGAGAGACGGAAAACTCCCACACTGAGAGACGGAACACTACCAGACTGAGAGACGGTACACTACCAGACTGAGAGACGCAACGCTACCAGACTGAGAGACGGAATACTACCAGACTGAGAGACGGAACACTACCAGACTGAGAGACGCAACACTACCAGACTGAGAGACGCAACGCTACCAGACTGAGAGACGCAACACTACCAGACTGAGAGACGGAAAACTACCAGACTGAGAGACGGAAAAC